TTCATATTTTAATTAAATAAAAAACAGCTTTACAGATATTATATATTTATTTATTTTTAATATATAATATTTAAAAATAATTATTTTTTTATTAATTTTATTTATTTATTTATGAATTAAGACTTTAGGATCAAAATTTGAACCTCTTAAATAATCAACATCTCATTATTATCCTAATGATCCAATATATCTTTCTGTTAATATTGTTTTTACTTTACTTAATAAAAGGTAGTGACAATTACTTTTAGAACTTATAAAATTACTTAAATCATATTATAAGATTTTAAATATTTAATAAAAAAATAAAGCAAGATTATATGATGTTTTACATAGATTTGGATTTTTTGTAAAATTTTGGAAAAATTATGATGATATAGAATTTGAAATAAAGATGCTTAATCATTTTCAAAAAAGATAGTAAAATTAGAACAAATATTATTATTTTTATCATAACTTTTATATCCCTAAATATAAAATGTCTAAATTTAAAATTGATATTTAAATTTAAATTATATATATCTTAGTAAATGATTAATTTATTATTATAAAGCTTGGTTAAAAATAAAATCAAAATTAATATTACATGAATATAAAAATTTTAGAAAAATTAATACCCTTTTGATGAAAAATCAATTAATCAATTTGAGGAAAATATTTTAGGTTTTTGGTCATAGATATCATTAATAACTAAAAAATTTAAATATGTTGCTTAACGAATTTTGAAATTTGTATTAATGTTACTTCAGTTGAAAGACTTTGGTTATATATAAAATTTCTTCATAATAAATAATGTAATTGATTATATATAAGTATATAATATTATTTAAATTTATTAATTATTATTTTAATTAATATTTCTAATTATATTTTTAAAAATAGTATGAGAAAGCTCTTAATATAAATAAATTACATACTTTTATTATTGCTTAACATAAAATAAATGAAATAAAAGCTATTCAACAACAAAATTAACAAAAAGTATTGCTAGACTAATAATTGAATTGGATTAAAAACTCAAAAAGAAAATATTATTAATATTTATAAAGATAGTCAAAAAGAAAATATACAAGAAAATATTATTCAAAAAAATTTAGATAATGAAGAAATAAATGAAGAAGCTAAACAACAAGCTAAAATAAATTTTGATTATGATGTTGAAATTAATGAAATATTAGTTGATCAATTACATTCTGCATTAGATTAAGAATTAAAATGAAATATTGAAAGTATTTTTATTGATAATTTAGTTATTCTATTTTTTATTAATAAAGAATAAATTTATATTAAATCAATATATTTATAGAAGTTTTTTTTTAAATTTATTATGATTAAAGTTTTGTAATTTTATTATTATTTTTTTATCTAAATTATATTAAATAAAAATTTATTATTTTATTAAAATTTAAAAATAATTTAAAAAAAAATAATATATTAATTTAAATAAATTAATAATAAATTTAAATTGTTTTATGAGTAAATTTATTCATTGCAAATGCAATATTATCATCTCTTTTTTGTAATCTGTGTCACACACCCTCTTTTTCATTTTTCATATATATTCTGAAGACTATTTTTTTCATATGTAAACTCCATTTGTCAGGTCATTTAGTGTCATATGGTATAGGGTTAGTTTAAGGTTAAGGTTAGGGTATAAAGGCGATGTATAAGAAGTATTGCCCCTGCAATAAATAAATTTACTCTATTTTGATTTTTAATTTTCAAAATTAAAATATTTTTAGCTTTTAATTTATTTAATTTTAATATACTTAAAAATAATTTAAGTTATATTTAAAATAAATAAGCAATTAAGTTACTTATTTTCTAACTTTCAATTAACTTTTTTTAATTATTTAAAAGTAGAATAAAAATATTAAATTATAAAATTGCTTGATTAAAATATTTTATAATAATAGATCAATACTAATAATCATAATCTAAAATTTATAAATTAAAAGTAAAACTATTATTCTTTTTTATTTAATAGTTGTATATTATTAATTAAAATTTTTTTTGTTAATTATTGATCAATAATTTATATTTCTTAACTTTTAATGTTGATTGTAATATATATATACATTCATAGTATATACATATAACAAATTTTACACGTATAAAACACTGAATCATAAGGAAAACCTGTGTTTCGTTTTTACAGAGAGAATAATTACATTTACAATTTAAACCTTCATACTAATAATGTTATTGTAATGGTGTAACTTAAAAATGTAGCGAAACCAGTAATATAATTTTTTTACAAATCCGTTATATTAGGAAAAACATATAATAAGTTTAACCAAAGCATTTTATGTTTAACCACCTAAAATTACTTTATACAGAAAAATTATTTGTTTCGAAGACAAAAATTTTTAAGATAAGAACCCGATAAGATAAAGGAATTTGGCGTAAATATTTCGAACGATCCAATCGATAAATACCCAAAAAATAGTTTATTCTATGATATTGGTAAATTGGTGGTACAAACCAAAATTATGCATTGTTCGATTTTGCATCACAGAATAATTTGTTTTTAAAATCGTTATCGTAATGTTTGATAGGTTACAGTATATACGTTATCATGCATGTTTTTGAAAGTTTCATAAATTTTGTTCAAATTTCTTTTTTCACATAATCCGCTTTCCTCATTTTTGTCTTCTTTTTTTTTAAACTAATTAATAAAATTTTGGCTCTTTTTTATTTTTAAAAAAAAAAAATTTGACAGAGTACAAATTACTGGGATAAGGTCAGTTAATTTGATATTAAATTTTTCTAAATATAAAAATCTCTAATTCAATGAAATTTACCTTTTTATTATTCTTTTAAACGTTATTTAATTCTTTAGCGATTAATTCAGGTAAATGGTTAAGAATTCATAATTTAGTAAAATCGGTATTTTAAATTAATTAAACTAATTTCAAAAAAAAATTTAAATGGAAAGTTCAACATTACAAGTGATCGAGATTATTTGGAATGTCTCATAAAAATAAAAATGGTTTAGGCACCCCTCAAATGATTATGACATCACCAATTCTCCCTCATGATGTTGTTATGGAAGTAATCAATTATTTGGAAAATGATCATTGTACATTACATTCATGTATTTTAGTGAATAGATTGTGGTGTCAGACAGCAATTGAAGTATTCTGGAAAAATTTGTGGGAATTTCGAATAAAGGTTGGGCTCACGGGAGATACATATAGATTTTGGGGAGCTGTCTTTCGAACGTTAACGTCATGTCTTTCTGATAGTTCTAAAGAACTATTGAGATCAAATGGAATCAAAATAACATTATATACCCCAAAAGTTCAATTATTTGACTATCCTGTCTATTTGAAGTCACTTGATTGTGTCGCAATATCAGCTATGATTGAAATGGTCACATATATGGCACATCAACATGAACGACCACGAAGGTTGTTATATATACAACATCTTTTGGAGCAAGAAATTTGTAAAATGTTTATAAATAAATGTGGCACGATTCCTGTTCTTATCCTAGATCATATTCCACTTGCATATTTTCCTGGAGCTCAAGAATGTTTCTCTTCACTTACTGAATTAAGATGTCATACGGCGGTGCATGAAACAATCTTTTTTGCGATGGCACAATTATGTAGAAATATTGAAAGGATAGTAATAGAATTTTTTGATGATGATAACCTCGGGTTGGCAGCTTTAATTGAGATGCAACAACATAATCTAAAATATGTTAAATGTTTGGGCGATGAACTTGGAGAAGATCAAAAATTTGGAGCTATCGTAGATGTGTTTAGAAAAAATGCGAATTTTTATACACAGCTTGATCTGGTGAAATTTCCTTTTATACGACCAGTGACGATTACGACCATGATGAATTTACAATCATTAACAATAAACTTGATTGGATCGCAACAAGAAGAAGCCTGGGAGGAATTGGCAAATGCTTATTTACCAAAGTTGGAAGTTCTCCATCTTCATTTTGATATATTATCATTGAATGTCACAAAGAATATTATAGCAAACAATAACGGAGGACTTTATAGTATTATAGTTGATTATGAACCTGATGATGATGATCAGTCTGTGACTCTTAATGAAACTATTGTACAATATTGTCCAAAGCTAAAATTCTTGGCTACTTGGTTTTTGAATAATGAATGGAATGCATTAGCAGATATATTAATGAGATGTCAAGATTTAGAATGTTTAACACTTCAGGGTACCGTTGCAAATCAGATAGACGGTGATAAATTATTAAACCTATTACGTAAAGAATATACGCCAAAAGGTTTATGGAAATTAGGGTTAAGGGGAAGCTGGGTTTTCTCAAAAAAAACGTTGAGATTATATTTGAAAGATTGTAAAGAGAAAAAAAAAAGAATTGCCTTTTGTTTTTCAGATAATGATTTAACGAATTTTAATGACATTAATGATATATTTGAGAAATATTATGAAGAAGGTGTTATTAGATGGTATAAATTTAATTGTTCGTTTGAATGGGATTCGTTTTGTACCTAATAGTTTATATGGAATGATATGTACAAATAATATATAGAATTCATACTTTTAATCAAAGCACGTCATAGTGAGCTAACAGTGATTCAGAAGTTCCCTCTGTTCAACATGTTTCTTTTTTTTTCACTACAACGAGATTTTATTGAGCGTTCACTATAGGGAAATAAACCATATAAAAGAATTGAGGAATTCCAATTATAATAAGGATCACTTTAACGAGCTTTGTCTATTTCTTATTACATTTTTTTTATCTGTCAATTTTTTCTAAAAAATTTAGTAAGACAATAAAATATCTTTTTTTTTTTTATTCCTTTCAGGAGTGGTAAGTTACTTATATGTGTTATAAATGCAAGCAAGGAAATTTAAGATTTATTATCATACAAAAATTGAAATACATATAAAATATCAACTTATCAATTATAATTATATCAATAATTATACATTAAATATATATATATTGTTTTTTTTTCAATCTACAAAATTATTAAATAAAATCATTCTCTCTTGTTTTAAGCAACTTTATTACAACCGGTACAAACCAATTTAGATTTTGCATCTTCATTAACGAAAGCTTTAAATTCACTACAACCGCATTCGCATTGAAATAACTTTTCACAATCTTCATGTTTATTATTACCTTCCGCATCAGCACTCATAACGCTCGAAGTAATAGAATATAAACTTGATGCATCACTTTTCCTTCTTCCACGACCTGTTATGCCACCCGTCGTATTCCATACTAAACTTTTATTTTGTTTTGGTTTAGAAAAGAAATTTCCTAAATTATTTCCAAGTGCAGAATTCCAAGATCTAAAAAGTATGTTCAATTCAATACGAATTAATAAAGGAAAAATTTAATCAAAAACGAGAATATTTTCTTCCAAGTAAGTTCACCTTGTACTTCTAACAGAATGGGAATCATTATCATGAGAATGATAATAGGCACAATCCTGTCTAAATATCTTAATACTCCCGGAATAATCAGCACAAATAATAATATTTCCATCAGGATAAGTTTTACTGAGAGCACTGGGTAAATTTGACTCATGATTCATTGTATTTGTGAAAATTGGATCTCCGCATAATGCAATCAATTGTTTTGTTCTTGTTGGTGCAAATATTGCTGCCGTTACAATTGCGGAATGGGCTGTTTATTATAAAAATGAATATATTTCATTAACTTGTCAATTCTATAAGATTGATGATTAGACATAATTTACCTTCAAAGCTTTCATAACCAATTTTCTCTCTTTTAAGCCAACTATTACCACTATTTCCATATTGAGCATTTGACTGTGATTGATCTGTGTTGAATATATATACATGCCGATCCTCGGATCCACTGATAATATATCTGCCATCATCACTATTAAAAAACAATAATGATTGGTTTTTATAAAGTTTAATTAATATTACGCTATTTGTAATTAATACCTGAATGTAGCGCGAATTTGACTGTATGTATTTTCATAGCCTTTATATTTATACTCCAATGATTTATCCCTCATATTATACAATCGAATTCTCGAGTCGTTAGAACTGATCAACAGCTATAAAATAAATATGTAATTAATAAAATTATCCTTTCCACTTCAATAATACTAATAATAATAAAATTTACTTTATCTTGACCCGGTTTAGTTCCTGGCATAGCCTCGATACCGGTAATTTTCTTTCCATGAGAATTTCTACCACGTGAGCTTTTTACGTGGATTTGTGTATTATATTTTAATCCGTCAGTTTCATAAAACAAACATAAACCCGAAAAACTTCCAGCTACACATTTTTTCCCATCAAGAGTAAATCCTACTGCTGTTATTAATTGTTGTTGCGGAGTTTCCATCCAATCTGCTACTTTCTTTTCTGGAATATTCCAAAGTCTCAATTTACAATCTAATGATCCCGACAAGAAAAATCTATCGTCCTATATAAACATATTCGCAATTTATTAAAGATTACATTTGAAAGAAATTAATTTTAATAAATAGGTTACCCTTGGATGAAATGCAATGGCCGTCACGAAATCTGTATGTTGGAAACAGCATAAACATTCCTTCCGTGTAATATGCCATAACCTATAACCCCACAATGTTATATAATTTTAAAATTAATTCTTAATATTTTCTTATATATTTCCTTAAAAGATTTACCTCACAGTCTTATCCATTGAAGAAGAAAGCAAAAAGTTATTTTTACTCCAACTTAAATCCAAAACATCAGCGGTATGACCATGATATTCATATAATGGTTTATCTCTCATCACAGGAGCTCCCAATTTCGATCCGCTTGATCCTTCATAAACACTTATTCCACTTCCCTCCAAAAAATGTTCACGTTCTTCATCACTTGATATAACAGCCCAAACTCTAACCACTGTATCTTTTCCTCCAGTTGCCAAGAACTTTCCATCTTTACTAAATTTCATTGTCCAAATTGCCCCAGATGCACCATTTTGTGTTGGATGAAATAATTCTTGTGCAAGAAACAACTTATCAAATTCTTTGAAGTGCTTATGTCGTGTTTTAACCTAAATTTATGTTATTGAGTTAGTTATCCTTCTTAAATATAAAAAGAAAAAATTAATCACCTTTATATAACGTGGCTGCGCTCGTCCGAAACCACTTTCTGTACCAAATACAGGTGCATTATTCCCTGTTACATTTTCTTCATCTCCTGTATCTTCATCTCCTTCGCCTTTTGCAGGATGCGATGTTCGTTTTTTGATACGATTAAGAAATTTTGATCGTCTTTTTTTCCAAAAGTTTTTTTTTTGATTTTTTTAAATCATAAAAATAAATCAAATGAAATTAAAAAAAAATTTTTTTATAGATAACCCACCTATTAGAAGTCTTTCCATCTTGATGTCTTCCACATTCATCATCGCTATCGTCTTTCCTTCCGCGTTCATATTGATATTCATTGATTGATCCTGATCTTTTCAAAATATGAAAAGAAAGTGGGTCAATATTTCCATTCGATTTTTTAATTTCTTCTTCTAAATAAGATGCAGGTATGTCTTTTCCTGTATCTAAATCTTTAACGTAGACCGTTAGATCAATAGGAAATTCACGTTTTCCATTATTATCAGAATTATCAATTTTTAATTCAGACATGTTATTATTATCTGCTGTATCCTTATCTTGCGAGATATCAGTATTTATTGATGATGCATCCTCATTATCAACTAATTCTTCTAGCACTTCTTGTTTACCGTCACCGGTTGAAGTATCTGTGATTGATATTTCTGGTATGGCTTGAACTCCAACATTTGAAATTTCTCGGGAATTATTTGTTGATGTTTGTTCTGCATTAGTTGTAAACATTGATACCAGCTCATTAGCATTTCTTGCTATTGAAGATAATATAGCTGTTGAATATCGATAAGGTACTGGTTTTCCTTCTACATCATCCGTAAATGTATCGGATGCATCTACAAATGATTCGGTTTCACTTTCGTTCTCGGATGCCATGACAAATGTTTTTTTTCTTTTTGAATAATTTATTATGATATACTGGAGTGTTATGATATCATATAATTTATATTTTTCAGTATTCCAAACTCTTAATAATGGTGTGCAAAATAAATTTAATTTATACGTAATTAGGTAAAACGAATCTGTTCAGATTTGCATTTAACAATTTACAAAGTTTGACGAAATATTACGTTGATCCTTTCCATTTACAAAAAATACGTTCCTAAATGTTGTACTACCAGTATATTAAATTGACTTAATGTATTTACCATTTTTATTCTAGTATAAAATTTTGTTTATCGAACATATTAATCCGAACATAAAAAATTTACCCAGGACTTAATTGTCGTTTATGATAAGTATAATTATCTGGTGTTTCACAAAAAAAAAAAATAAAGGTTAATTTCTTTGAATGTCTCAAATTCATTAATGAAAAATTCATTTACATCATTACAATATGGACAGTCTCCTCTTAATCTATTATAAATTTGTGTAGTTGAAGGAACAGCACGAAGCCACTGGATGGAAAAAAGATGTTAATTTCAAGTATTGATTACATAGAAACTTGTAAATTAACTTACTTCGTATAAACAAACTTGATGGAACGGTTGACCACATTTAGTATTGCTACAAGTTTGGTCTGGAATTACATCATCCAAACGATAAGAATAACAAATCCCACACGCGACGTTAAAATCTGATGCTGAACTTGTCTCAGGTGAAGGAAAATGTATCTCTAATATTTTCTCAAGATTTTGACGTACAGTAAACGAAAGATTCCAATTATTAAAATTCTTTGAAAGATTGGTTTTGAGTGGCGCAATGAAATTTTCTGCGCCAAATAAAGTATAATCACAAATTTTTTTGGGATTCAATTCATCCAATTTAACATATAAAGAACAATGATTTCCTAATGCAATCCTTCGTGATATATCACAACGCTTTGGTTTATCGGGTTCTAATACCCATGTATTGGCATCAATATCATCAAGCATTGACCAAATTTCTTGAAATTTCTCAAATTCCTAAAGTTTAGTAAAAATACGTTAAATACCTCATAAATATTTTCTAAAAATTATTTTTATACGCTTACCTTTAGATAAAAGGAGATTACTTCATTGAAACTTGTTGTTGGATTTGGAATTTTGGATGTGGAAGGTGGAAGGTCGGCTCGAACGGTAAGTGGTTTTTGTGGATAGGAGAACGGTAAAGAAATGGAAATTTTATGTTTTCGACCTGACGAGTCGCTGTAAAAAAGGAAAATTATTTAAGGATATGCACAAAAAATTAATATTTTATAGAACTCCATACTTCAAAGTTAAAGTCAAAATTTTCAGTAAAGGATCGAGAGATTCTAATTTGTCCCATCCGATGCCATCCAATTCTGTTAAGAGTGTTGAGTAGTAACTTTCACCTGGTATAGGTTCACGTTTGACACTTGTCATAATACTTTCCTAATGTTTAAATAAAAGTTAGAACATGATTATACATACTTATATTAAAAGTCATACTTAACAAGCAAATCTTTAAGATCTACAAAGAACTCGGTCAAAGTAGAACATTGTTCAAGACGCTATGATATAAAAAGATTATGCCTAATGTAAATCAAAAATTTTTTTTTTTTTTTTTTTTTTTTTTTGTAACCTGTTTTAAAGCTTTTTCATGACCAAAAAGTAATCTTTTAAGCTCTGGACTTCCATGTAATTTTGCATTTTTTAATGATTTAATGTTTTCCAATTGTATCTCAAAATGAAATTCTTGTCCCTAAAAAACAAAAAAAAAAAAATGATTCATGTTAGCTGTACATTTTTTTTATTTTTATTTTTTTTTGTTCTTGGAAATTTTAAAGTACTTTGACAGTAATGAATCCTTTATAAGATAATCCATCTACGTCTGCAAGCATAAGTAAAGGGAAAATTTGCGTCGCCATAACTATGAAAGTGGAGAATTATTTATCAAAATGATAATCAGTTTTCATGCGTACAACAAACAATTTCCTTTATATTTCAATATCTTTTGCGATCAAATTCACATTATTTACGTAGATCTTTTTGTTGAAATAATTGGATCCACGTACATATCTTGACACATCTGTAATCTGTGACAGGTTACGCCCGATTGGGATCCGTAACCATAAAAATCGAAACGCGGTTTCACAGCATGTTAGAATTTTTTCACACAGTTTGCGTAACTGATTAACTGATCAGAATCGATTATATAAGACTTTTTTTTTTTAGCCTTTGGATACGTTTGATACGTATTCCCCCCTCCCTTACTTCTTACTAACTTTACATGCGAGAGAAAAAAGGGCATTTTTTACCTTGCTTTCTTTTATTTACTTACTCTGTAAGTCCCCTTCCCCTTACTTCTTACTAACTTACATGCAAGAGAAAAAAGGCATTTTTTACCTTGCTTTCTTTTATTTACTTACTCTGTAAGTAAAAGGTAAAAAAAGGGATTAGAAAAGCACTAAACTCTCCCTCCAGGATGTCAAAAATAGTTCCTGGAAGTCATTACAAGCTTTTATGGAGATTCTACTATGAAAAAGGCTCAAGAATTATTATCTGATTTGAAGTATTACTTTATTTCTGTGCCTTATGTTGTTTCATTAACCAACAAACATGAAATCTGTAGAAGATGTTTACTGTTCAATACTGAATACATTAGCTGGTCCTTACGCTGATCAATGCATAAGCACCTGTTGCTTGTTCAGTTTATTAACAGTAGGAAGTCATTGAATACATTGGTTGGTTTCTGCGCTGATCAATGTATAAGTATCTGTTGCTTGTTCAGTTTGTTATCAAGTAACCATTAACAAGCATTAACACATTAGCTAGTCTTTACGCTGATTGATGCATAAAGTACCTGTTATTTTGTTTAGCTGTCAATGACGTCTAAGTATATCTGATAGATATATCAGAAATGTTATTTGCATAATAACTCTAAGGAATTTCACAAAAGTACAATATTTAGTTTAATACTAACTAATCTTTTTAATCTTTTAAAAAATGCTAAAAGATTATTAGATGTTGAGAAATTTTGTGAACATTTAAAAACAATATCAAAAAAACTAAATTGCAGATTGCAGTTTCAGAAGTGAGTTCATGTAATATTATGCATATTTAGTATATTAAATTATATAACTTAACATTTTCTACAGTCCAAGAATATTGTTAATAAATTTGAAACGAGACAAATCACTCTGAAATTACGAGAGAGAATACATCAGAGCTCACAATCTCTCTAATCTTATTAGAATAAGAATTGGAATCCATGAGAGAGGATATATTGGAGTTCACAATCTCTCTGATTTTATTGAAAAAAAAATTAGAAATTACGAGCGAGGATAGATTAGAGCCTATAATTACTCTGATCTTATTAGAATCACGAGAGAGAATATATCAGACTCACAATCATTTCTGATCTTATTAGAATCTATGAAAGAGAATACATTGGAGTTCACAATAAAGGTATTGACTCAAAAACAAACAAGATATAGAAGAAATATGCTAGATTATTCTGAAGTATCTGATCAAGAATATATCATTTTGATTCTTAGTGTTTTTATACTAATTCATGTTTTTAGAGACTTAGGAAATATATGTTAAATCTAATATTTAAATCTAATTATCATATTAATGTTTTGATTTCTTTATAGAAAAATTATCACAACAATTCAAGAGAATCAAATTACAAGTACGACTGATAAATTGATAGTTAAACGTCATTTTTATAATAAAAACCTTTGCACCTTTTTTCCTTGAGATACATTTTCAAAATGATCAATATAATCGAGCATAAGTCAAAGAAAGGGTGATGACGTTATATATAAAAACACTGAGCCTCTCTGGATTTGAAACTTTTCTTATAAAGAGTTAATCCTTTTTTTTTATATAATCTAAAAAAAAGAAGAGGCGTCCTCATTTTTTTCAAGTTTTTCTTACTATAAATAAAAAGTAGGGCGTCTTGTTTAGTTTGTTTAATCAATTTTGTAAAGTTTTGCTGAATTCTTTATTAAGTTAATATTATGATAAAAACCTTTGAACCTTCTTTACTTTCGAATATAAGCCAGAAGAAGGGTGATAACGTTATATATAAAGATACTGGGTCTCTTTGAGTCTGAAACTTTCCTTATAAAGAGTTGATCCTATTCTTTTGTAAGTTCTTATTTCTTTCAAGTTTTTCTTACTATAAATGAAAAGCAAAACGTCTCATTTAGTTTTTTATTCAATCAATTATAATATAGAATTTCTAGTATTTTTGGCTTTTCTGATTAGTTTGATTTCAACATTGATTCTTACATTTATGATACAAACTGTCTTCACTTTACATAAAGGTACCAACTATAGAGATAAAACAAATTTGCTAAAATTTCAACATGAAATCCTTCATTATTAAAAAGTGCTTATTTAACAAAATAATATTAAAATTTTGGTAATAAATATGACGCGATATAATAGCGAAACGTTCTATAATTTTCATAAATAATACATTAACACGAAAGAAATCAATAAGAACTTTTTAATACAAATAACTAATCTAAATCTTTCATCTTAAATACAAGAAAAATTTTGTTTTGCAATAATTAATACAATTAAATTGCTTCTCTTTTGGTACAGTTCCCAGCGAAAAGAATGGCAGTTTAAATACTGCATCTATTTTAGACCAAAACGTAAACTGCATTTCTAATATAGGCTGTTGTTTATATGATCAAATTAGACGCTAGAATCATAATATAAAAGGTAAGTTAAAAAAAATTATGTTTATTTTTGTTTTTGTTGTGATTTCTTAACCGAAAAAAT